GAAACCAAAATCTCTCCACTGGCTATGCTCTCACACAGGCACATTTTGAAATCCATGGGAATATTGCGCTCTGATGCATTGCCAGGGCAAACGATCGCACTGTTTGCCATCTGCTATCTTACACTATGGGAGTCAAACACATGCACCTACAAACCAGAGCAAAGCACACAAGTCTCAGTTTGGCACACGCATAATGTTTTTCATCTTCAAACCCTCTGAAGAGAGGAGGAAATCACATTAATCTTCATAGCACCCTTGTGAGATAAATACAAAATGATTGCTTACCCTGTAGTGTACTTTATCTGAAGATTTTATCTCACGGGACTCTGAATGCAGCTTTTGCGCCTTAGCACAAGACTAGCAAAACTTCCTGAATTCATTAATTAACAAGAAATAGTCACACTATAGTCACACTAGTCATTTTTTTCTGATGATGTCAAAAACGGTCATAACGTAATCCTTGAAGTTTGTTTCGAAAGTCAATTGTGACAGCCGAGTACATTAAGCTAGAAGCTGGAAGTGGAAGGGATCAAAATAGGTCCATTTGTGGTATGTCACAACATACTCCTGTCTGGAACCTCCGGGCCTTCTGATGCTTGCCCCAAAATGCTACGCTCATGAACTTACTCATTAGCAGAAGTCAAGCTGAGTGAGTGGGCAGCATGCTGCTGTGATGTCAATGATCGCTGAAGCAGAGTCTTGGCTTGAATGAATCACCTTGGGACACCTACAGATAACTATAACAGAGTTAAGGACCACAACCTTCAGGAAAGATGCACACAGGTTCTCTGATGAGACTTTTTGCCTGGCAAAAAGAGTAACTATCAAGATGGGCTCTATACTAGGACTACGTTATCATTACGTTATGAGGCTCATTATTAGGAGCCTCAAAGAGGGTTCTATGACCATGTTGAGCAACTGCTCAACAGTTGCTTGGAAAACACAGGATGCACTTGACTACATGAGGCAAAAGTACTTTGCCAACAGGCTGGCCAACTTCATAAGGAGAGCTTTAAACTAGAAATAATGGAGGAGGGAACAAGGAGGTTTGGGATGGGTTAGGCAAGCCAAGAGCCTGGGATGATGGGAAGAGAAGGGACACAGCATTCACAAAACAACTGAGCTGAAGTATAATCCCTTTGAGTGCAGGCATGTAACGAAGGAAGTGCCTGTAGAACAGCCCTGTGGGGAAAGCTCTCAAGCTTGTACTGCAGAACTGGCACACCTGGATGCCCCTCAGAGGCCTCTACTCTAACACATGCAGCACGGGGAAGAGTTCGAAGTCTGTGTGCAGTTACAGGGCTACAATCTCATTGGAATCATGCAGAAACGGTGGAATAGCTCACGTGATTGCAGTGGTGTGATGGAGGGATACAGGCTTTTTAGGAAGGACAGCTGGGAAGGTGAGGAGGGGGTGTTGACCTTTATGTGAGAGAGCAGCTGGAATGCATGGAGACCTGCCTTGGGACAGGTCAGGAGTCAGTTGAGAGCTTCTGGGTCAAGATTAGCGGGCAGACCAACATGGATGCTCTTGTATTGGGTATCTGCTATAGATCTCCTGATCAGGAAGAAGTAGTAGATGAGGCCTTCTTCACACAACTGGAAGAAGCTTCATGTTCACAGGCCATGATCTTCATGAGGGACTTCAGTGACCCCAGTACCTGCAGGTATCTGAACACAAAAAAAACCCCCAACACTTTTCTATTGTGAGAGTGGTCAAACACTGGAACAGGTTGCCCAGAGAGGCTGTGGAGTCTCCATCCTTGCAGATGTTCAAAATCTGACTGGACACAGTCCTGGGCAACCTGTTCTAGGTGGCCCTGCTTGAGCAGGGGCATTGGACTAGTTGATCTCAAGAGCTGCCTTCCCACCTCAACCATTCTGTGATCCTGTGATGTTTAGCTCCATTTAATTTGATTCCTCATACATTTAAAATACAAATATAAGCCCTTGCCAGTGAACATATGCATTGCGTCTTTATTCTTGACACACAGCCCCACTGCAAACCCATTATCTCCAACTGAGTGATCTCACTGAGATCAAATTAAGCAAAGCATATTTAGAACTGTGGCCCAGCACAGCCATTTTCCTAACCATGCATTTTACTTCACCTTTGTTTATTCAAAGGATCTCATTTGTATTAAAAAAACCTTCCATTTCATATAGAAGGTCAAAGGATTCACTGCTCTGTTATTTCAAGGACAAAGCTTCTCCCAAACTGAAGTTATACTGAAAATTTAAGCAATGTAGACAAAAATAATAGTCAGTATAAATCAAGCTAGAAGTCCCATCGATGTTTTTTTGCTTTAAGTTTCCCAGCATGGCAACACTGTCCAACAGATATCTAGTATTTTTTTGCCGATGTCATAAAAACATTCTGTATCACAGCAAATGCATATAAATGTATACCACTGTAGAATGGTAGAATTTCTATTTATATAGGATGCACAACAGAGGCTCCGTAGACAGAGCAACATTTTAACATTCCTTCCAAAATGGGGAGTATCTATTGTTTACCATCTCTGGTGAATTTTAACATCAAAATCAACTCTTCACTATTTCTATCCTCCTGAAACATTCCACCCCTCCATTACTTATCCAAAAATTACCCTACACCTGACACGACATGCAATTACAAAACTACCTTCAACCACAGCATTTAATTGTGAATGTTTGATAAGAGGGGCCAGGAAAGCACTGACCACGATAACAACACTAATTTTAAAACACCTACTGCAGGAAAAGGGATTTCAGTAGCACAGTTTCTCATTTCCTGCTTTTGTTGGTTGTCGGAAGGCGATACACATGGAACAATCTTTGGATTATGTCAGAGATGTGTACCACTGCACACACAGCTTTGAGAGGGAAAACATTGCAGAGCACTGCACATTAAGGTACCTTTAAGTAACACCAATTTTACAAAACCACATTCTGAGTTAACTGCTTGCTGATAGAAATTGCCTGGTTACATGATATTTCCATACGAAACATGAAAATTCTGTGCTGCAAAAGAGGGAGAGAAGGCATGGTGTGGAAAACGATATTTTAAGAAGTCACAAAGCGTAATTGATAATAAAGGTGAAAAATGAAGAGATGAAGAAGAAAGTAGCAATTCCAACCCACCTATTACATTTAAGGTTCTAGATTGCAATTTCAAGAATAATTTCTCAGTTGCGGTAAAGAAACATAACAGATAGCAAATTGTTCAGCATATCAAGTTTTTATCTCATTTCTGACCATGAGAACAGCATGCACTTTTGTGTCACATAAAATCCATTATAAGATCAGGGTCTCTGTTTTTATAAAGTGACTGAGGTCACAAACTTCTCCCAGCAGGCAACTAGGCTTCTGGGCAAAAAAGGGATGGAAAAAGTCCAAAAGAGCACAGAGAACTTCACTCTTTCTTAGATGAGGAAATGCTAAGAAATGTACATACAGTAATAATGGAAAAATATCCATAACTTTATTATTCTTTGACGCATTTCTCAAAGCAAAACTATATTCTTCTTCAGAAAGGTTGCCCTAACTACTCCAGATTATCCACCTTGTATGCTACAGACACTTCTCAGGAGAATGAAAACTCAAGAATTGCACTAACAGCCTATTACTGTACAACCTAAGGTACATATTGTCCTTGAGGGAGACCTATAAATGACCCCATCTGAGAACAAGATTTTCTTTCTTTCACTGTTACCGAGCATGCATACATAACTTTCTCACAAAAAAAAGACTCGTAGCTAGATTATTAAATGGCTTTCCAGGCACTTACCATGGTAAGATTTGCCAAAACTTAATATAATTGCAGCTTCTGAATTTAGACTGAATTTTGCTGGTATTTTAGAAACAAGTGTCAGATTTATTTATTTTGAAAGATGGAAGAGGAATTAAAACAACATCCATGGGATGGCAAATCTCCCTTCCTGCTTATCTCTGTAATGACCCATATACTGGATTGGTTTTTTTCCTTTTAATTGTATATTCTTCAGCTCCAATTTTAGTAGTCAGAATGCACAAACCTATATCTGGTCATAAACTTTTATTAGAATTCTGTCAAAATAACAGAATTTCAAATAAATTATGCTAAATAATGAGGAAGTTAAATGATCCTACGCTGAGCCACTGACTTCTTGGCAGCTATTTGTTTAAGTGCCTGAAGGAGTAATTATATTGCCTCTGAAAGTTTAGTTTAAAACAACCAAAACCCTAAGCCCCTAACATTTTAAGAAAACAGCAAGAACTACATGCAAACTCCCGGGGAAAGGATGACGAGTAAAACTTCTGACCGACTAAGAGAATGCAATAACCATGTTTTAAACACAGTTAAAAGACTTTCAGGACTAGCGATTACAGTAACAATTTTTGTTATTTTGGGTTCTCCTCTCCCTGCTCACACATTGTGTTTTGGGTGATATTTTTCTCTAAACATTAAGATAATTTTAAGATGTGACAGCCAACAATCTGTAACAGGGACACACTACATGGATCTCCGGGGGAAAAAAAAGTGACCAGGCAAAAAGTTTTTCAGGGGAACCATAAAATGCAATTACCATTGATCTTACCATTTACAACTCATAGAGCCCAAGTGACCTGGGAGAGTACCTAATGGAAAACAGTACTCACAACAATAAATTAACAACTATGGGATGCAGACATTGCATTCCCAAATTGCTTTTAAGTATGAGAAGTCCTGTCAGAAACCCATTTTAGAACTCAATACAAGAAGGATAAACAACAAGGAGAACAATCTCAAGTCTCTGTACGCTGACCAATTTCAGTCTCAGGTGAACATAAAAGCAATAGCCGTATATTCTAATTAATGACAGTTCAGGTATTTCAGAGTGAAACATGTTTAGACAAAAGCAGAAGCCACAGTTTAAAGACTGAGCTTTTCAATAGACAAAAATGTTTGCTTTTTACCAGATTTTGTAGTTTACATTTTCACACTTTTGGAAAGTACTTTTGTAGCAGATAAGTATCATCAACTGAAAAATAAATCCTACCTGTTTCCTCTTTTCAGGCGGAAGGGATGGATCCCCATCCTACAAATAAATGGACATATTTTATTGGGAACTTATTTCTGAAGCCAGCAACTATATTAACTTTGTGGATCAAAGTTTAAAACATGTACTTTAACTAAAATGTTATCTAAATTGTTTCTAGAATACTGCATCTTGATTAATATCATTAATACTAATTTAATCTCAAAAAATTGTCAAAGGCTGAAGATTTGTTTACATTTCTAGAACAGCAGGTCATTACAAATTTATGTTGCATTATTTTTCATAACGGTACATTAAGTTGCTGTGGAATAATAATACTGTAGTCAGTTTTTAAATGGAATTATGACTGAAACTAATTTCCTCAGAGCATGCACTGTCTTTCTGTGTCTTATATAACAGGCACTACCTCATCAATGCGGAACAAATGAGTAATAATATGATCAGGGCTGTACAACTGCAGGACTACTGTAAACAAGTACCTAAACATTTTTACAGCACTCATTATGGACTCCTTTTGATTTTTTTTGAGGTTGATTCTTGTCCCCCAATTATACAGTATTCATAAAGAACAACCTACAATCAGCTCCCGATACTTCTTTTTCAGAGACTGGTGTCGTTCCCGCAACTGGTTGGCCATAAGCTTGTATTGGTCTCTTTCTTGTTGACAGGTGTCCAGCTCTTTGGAAAGGATCAGCAATGCCTCCTTTTTACTTTCGAGCTTCCTTTTACACACCAGATACTGCAGAAGAGAAAAAAAACCCATAACTGTAACAAGCCATTCCTACCCCAGCCAGTACTGGATTCAAGAGGCACAAGTTTTTCTCTGAAAAGATGGAGGAAGACTCTCTGCACAAGATCAAAGTCTGCCACAAGTCATCTTAGCTTATTAATAACAATCACAGGAAAGAAATCTGTTGTATCAGAAGCCTGAAATGCCTTTGTAAGGCCACATGCTCACCTGACCACTGTGAATTAGAAAATTCAGCAACTTGAGTTTCTCCTCTTTTTCCTCATATGCAAGAGTATGAGGAACCTCACAATTTGACCGGCAGCCCTGGGAAGGCTGCTGAAAGGAAGAAGCCTTTGTAAACTCCCTTTTCTACTGCTGTCCACAATACCCAGCTCTCAGTTAGAAACCAGCATTTCCCACCTCATTCCCCCTTCCCTCCTCCCCGCTACCAGCAATGTCCTCTGGGCTCAGCCTCCCACCTGGACAGGGAAAGAGGGCCATGTTACAGCAGAAAAGGTAGCATGAGTGGCAACCAAAATTTGCCTTGAGCCTGAAACAACTGCAGTGCGGTACCCTATCGGCACAGGTAAAAGAAACTAATTTAGCTGCGATACTATATGCACTTGCTTGTTGAGTGAAAAGAACAGGAAACAATGCAGGAATATTGCAAGCACCTGAATGGGGAGGGAAGACAGAGGTGAGCCTTCCTCTCCAGCCACCGCCTCTTATGCGTAGGGCTCATGCACAAAGTAAAACAGAACTTGCAAATCTTAGCTGTTCTGCATTAGTCTGATCCGCTTCATTGCCTTTCCCCACTGAGAGGAAGAGAAAGTAACGTGTATGTCATCCTTTCCTGCAGTGGCTAAATGTTACCTATCAGAAGTTTCAGGCAACTTTTTCCACTTAACGTGATGTTCAATCAGCAGATTCTTCTTATCCATCACTTGACACTGCTCATACTAAAGCATATGTTTCTATTTCTGATGTTACTCACATAACACGTGGCACTAAATACTTTCTGAATGTGCTCTGCAAGAGACCAAATATCACAGCACTTGTGAAACCAATTTATAGTTTCATTATATACTCTGACAAGAATACTTTGTCATTATGGGCTCTTGTACAAAGCAAGAGCATCAGCACTTCCATACTGTTCAAGTCAGTGCTGTTCTTTGGGACAAAAATCATTATTCATATGTACTACTTGCTTGGAATTGACTTTGTTAACCTCAATTTCAAGTCAATGAGAAAGGGAAAAGAGAGTTTGGTATATTAGTACAGCCAACATTTCCCCAAAATGGTAAATGTTTAGTTGCAAAAAAGTGGGAAGGGAATGAGAAAAGCAGTGCCAAGAAGGATTTGAACTTACAAAAAGGACACTTCCACCTTGGATTCATTTTATTTCTGGCAACACTGAAGTTGAAATCCTGCCATAAATTTTCTGGATTCTGATGCCTTGGCATCAACTTTACAAAGGCAACCTATGTACTTATGTCCTTACTGATACCTTACACAAATGTCAAGTCTACTGATGAAGCACTGAAAGGTATCAGAAGCTAAACTTTAATATTGTCAGCAAGTTATTATAGTGACATGGTAAACCTGCTTCAAAATTGATAATATAATTCCTTACCTTACAGTGAAATATTTGCCTCTGACAATCTCTCTTCTGTTTTCCAGTTTCATCTTATGTCTTAGTCAATTCCAAAATATGCCTTCACTAAATTGTTTTTAAATACTAACAATCTGATACAGTAATTGCGAATAAAAACGAGTAAAAGCAAACCTCACAATCACTTTAAAAAACCCAACAGCCAAACGCCTGAACCAAGTAGCCTGTACTGTTCCTTTAACCACCAGGAAGAATGAAGCTGGCCCATCCAGCCAACTGCTACGTGGAGCAGAACAGCCTATACAATGTAAGCCCTGCCATGGTATATGAAACAGTGTACGAGAGAGCTGGAAGCTAACTGGAGCATGTAGCATGTAGTATAAAAAATAATACTTACCCCCCCCCAGCCTATACAATGTACACAATGGGAGGGGAGCAAAGCTAAACATCTTGCCTTAGGACACCCACACCACCAGCAGGTGCCTCTGAGCCCTGCCACGAGTGCTGGTATATGAAACAGTGTACGAGAGAGCTGGAAGCTAACTGGAGCATGTAGATAAGACTATAAAAAATAATACTTATCAGGCAGGAAATGCAGACCTAGTGCTAAACAAATCTTGCTTCTGCCATGAGTCACAGCTCTCCACAAAGGATACACTCAAAGCATAAAAGAAGGCTTCACCTTTCACAGCAGCACTGGAGGGGGCAAGGCAATTCTCCATTATCTATTAGGTTGAGGATAATGAACCATAAACAGATTGTGGGGACAGTTGTGTTCAGGGTCTAAATGAAAAGGTATAATGATCTCCTCCTTGTTTAAAGTATATTTTAACTTGATGAATTATATACTGATGATGTGCCATACGGAAGGAAGGGACTTGGCATCTCTCATCAATGTACTGTTTGGATTTTACTATAAAAATGACCACCTAGAAGACTTTTCGAAGCCATTGTTACCTTTTGCATATATTGACTTTACCAAATAAATGGGATAAAAATAGTAATAATGTAAAGTATTTTGTTTCCATGGCCTTACGGTACAAGAAACAATAAAGCCACAGCATTTCTGTGGAATTTGATTATTTGACAGAGCTATGTTTCCAATTCCCATTACTATTTTTGAAGGAAAAACAAATTATACAAAGACAAACCTCAAAGAGGTTATTCAGTATATATGCTTCTGAATGTTAAAAAAAAAGTACTAATAATGGCCATAAACTGACCGAACAACTGTACACCAGAAATGGATTCTACTCAGGGAAACAGCTGAGTCCCACCAACAATTTCCCATATACGGACAAATAAATGCAGCAAAATTGCTTTGTTGTCAAAAGAAACACAGGATTTTAACAGTCTTTTTGGAGCAATGCAAGCAATAAGGAAAATTTTCTGATCTAGTCTGAAAAAAGCATTCAATAGATGCTTCTGGCATTCATATAGAGATTTCTTCCTCTGCAATTGAAGGAAAGCCTACGTCTCACCTACTGTCTATCAGTGAGACAAACAAGTGAATTCTGTTATGCACTATAGTTACTACAAAATATTCTTAGTGTCTTTTGTTTCTTTTTAATTGATGTTCCAAAATAATCTTTTAGTTTAAAAAACAGTTAACCAAGAACCAGCTGCTATACTTCCAATCTAAAAGCTGCAATGTACAACTTTTCATATCTGTCTAGTGACTTTTATCTACCAATTCGCTGTTATCGGCAATAAAGCAAATTATAATTGCTACAAGGAAGATCATAATAATTAAAGGAATATATATGACATCCTACATTACTGCCTGAACTGCTTTAGAGCCAGATAACTACTTCAGTGAAATTGAGTAAAGAGAGACTGACATTACAGGAGAGTGTAACTGCTCCAAGGTGACCCTCTAACATTGAACACTTACTATTTGTCCATTGCTATTTTTAGTGACAAATCTGGATAGATCTCATTAATGACGCCATAGACATGGTCTAATAATCTGATGAAGCTGGGACACTGTCAAGGTTTTAGACTTTCTTTTTTTAAACCAACAAACACACCAAATTCCTATCACAAAATAATTTCTTTTAAATTTGTACAAATTACTGGCCTATACTTGGGTATTTAACGGCAATTAGTGCCAAGAAGGAAAATACCTAATTTTCTGAGGGTAAAAGTAGAGATACTATCTCCAAACTGTGCTTTGGAATCACTGTGGATCATGTTCTGCGTTCTCTCAACACTCCAGGACCTAGTGTCCTCCCAAATGCCGATGGGCCACCACACTGTATGTGGGCCTGGAAACCTATCGTCCACCATGCTCTCAGAGAAACCATGAACTCTACCCACCATCTTTTGGACAAGAGATCCAACTGCTACTGAACTGCCTGAAGTTTTATCAAATTTCTCCTCACTGTACTCTTGGAGGCAATTTTGTGGTGGAAATGACAAACTGGAGTCCCAAAATGCATTGTAATGTCACTATTTGGGATGTTTGTTGACTGTGTTTCAGTAATGTTGCTCCCCTTGACTTCGGATTAAACTGTTCAACTTATCTGAAAGAGTCAAGCACTCAAACCCAGAGAAATACACAATTACTGGCCATTTGCCTGCTTTTTCATCTCATGTCCTCATCTCTGATAAAACCTGAGACAATGCAGTGTCCTTGGTTTTATCCCACAATATCAACTCTGCTTTTCCTGCTGCCCAGCACTTGCTTCACTAGCTACCTCCTGACTGCTGACACACAAAGCAGGCTGGTATCATTCACTGATGATATAAGTGATACAAGCAGCTCCCCAGAACACCATGTCTTGTCTTGACGACAATATTACACTACATCACCTTCACTGGTCATTTAGGAATTACCATCATTTGATTTATTAGTCAAAATAACACTATTTTGCAATGTGGCCCAGCCCTTAGAAGTTTTGTATGCTGTGCATCGGATTACACTATTAATTTCTCCGTGTTTGTTCCTCAGCATCCCTGTGGGTATATTAGTCCAACCTGGAACATGGAAACGTGAGAAGCAAACACTTGTTTTGTTGCCCGAAAGCCCAGCATGCAGGTCTCCGTAGCATCTCTCCCATAGTTCCCGAGAACTTTGGAGAGCAGTAAGTCACAGTGCCAGCTCTTTTAGCGTTTCCACTTCCTTTTCCAAATGACCAAGCCATTACGATGCCAACCCAATCACCTAGGGACTTCAGAGCATCCGCTCCACTTTGTTCTTCCCTACAGCCACTGGCATTTGCCCGCATTTAGAAAAGCTCTGAAATTAGTGTCTCCAGAGCCTGTCAGGTCCCTTCATATAGGTCCCTTCGTATAGGTTTGGTGAATTACATTTTACGCTCTGTTTGAAAAGGCAACACGACAGAAAGTTAGAGAGATATTATAAACATGAAAATCCCACTTATTTTCCTTC